GAAAGCTGATCGACCACTGAGGTCGAAAACCGAAAACCGAAGTCTTGAATTTAAAAATTTGAACTTACGTCTTGTTGTTTTTCGACCACCATGTTCGAGCTCTCTTCGTTTAAAGCTAAACCTTTCCTACCACCTCCTCCTATCATCGCCCCCTCAGTTCAAAATTTGAAATTCAACCCTACTGGTTATCCTCTCGAAAACCGAATGTCCTGACACCACACCGAAGTTGAAAGCCGAATTTCGACAAAACCAAATAAGATCATCAACCTGAATAACTTGACTCCGTGAACTACTCCGAGTGAACTCCCTCGACCTACCACCAAGGTCGAAAAATAAATTCGACAAAACCAAACCAAGCGAAAACCATCAACCTGCTCGTGTCGTAATTAATGCCCTCTATCTTCCATTGAGGTCGAAAAATAAATTCGACAAAACCATAATCAAATAAAAAGCAATCAACCTGCTCGAGCAATAATGGATATCATCAAACCCAACAAAACCAGACTAAAAGAAACCTCTCAACCTGCTCGAGCAATAATGAATATCAACAAAACCAGAATTAAGTAAACCATCGACCTACCATCGAGGTCTGCACGAGCTATCTGTAATGAACTCCATCTTCCTTCTCTTGAAGTTGAAAAATAAATTCGACGAAACCAAGAATCAAATAAAGATCATTGACCTACCACTGAGATCTGCAATAGGATCCATGTCTTCACCGATCCAACGCTAGGATCGACCACCCAGCCCAGAGGCCTTAGTCATGGTGGATTTTGGTCTTCGAACACATGTCCACCCTCGAAGGAGTGGTCGTTACATGTGACCACCCAGCCCGGAGGCCTTAGTCATGGTGGATTTTGGTCTTCGAACACATGTCCACCCTCAAAGGAGTGGTCATTACATGTGACCACCCAGCCCGGAGGCCTTAGTCATGGTGGATTTTGGTCTTCGAACACATGTCCACCCTCAAAGGAGTGGTCGTTACATTTGGCGTCGTCTGTGGGACTTTCGTTCGAAAAGTGGTGTGCTGAGATCTCTGAAGCTCGGTGGCTATGGCGGACGGAATTCCTAGGAGACATTTACAAGCATCGTTCGATGATGCGTGGACGATAACGAGGCCGTTTGGAGAAGGCCCACCTCCGGGCTTCTCTGGACCCTCGCGTACGCCGGTGACTCCGACGCCTGCTCCCCAAGGTGTAGAAGTCACGCCGGCGCAACCAGAGGCTAATGTGGGCTGAAATCGGGCCCAGGAAACCCACACAGCTCAAGGCGCGGCGACCCCAACGCTGCCGCAACCAGATCTGGCCATGACGCTACAGCGAGGAGCGGCGGTACAAGGAGCGGTGCCGCCGCCGGTGGAGGAACCGCGTCCTGGCCAGCAGGTGGTGATGACTAGGCAGGAGATGCAGCAGATGGTGGCGGACGCGGCGGCACAAGTGGTTCAGCAGGTCACTCAAAGCTTTTCGCGAGTGGCTGTTGGACCAACAATGGTGGATGAGGACGTGTCTAGCTATGGAGGAGATGGAGCCTTAAGAGATCGTGAGGTGGAGAGGCTCGCGGAACAGGTGAGGCAAATGCAGGCTAAGATGGATGGTCGACCTGAAAGACGTGCTCGAGGACATCCATTCTCGAGGGATATATTGGCTGCACCATTACCTGCGAATTTCAGAGACATGAGTTTGATGTTCGATGGGACCACTGACTCGTCGAGGCATGTAAGGGCGTTTGAGAATTTGGCTGTGTTGCATGGTTATTCTGACTCGGTTAGCTGCAGGGCATTCTTGTCGACCTTGAGGGGAGGCGCGCTCGACTGGTTTCAGCAGCTCCCTCATGGATCGATCAAGGACTTTGATGATTTCGCGGAAAGGCTGATGACCCAGTATGCGAGTGCGGTGGCACAGGAAAAGACGTAATTGACGTTGATGGCCATGAGACAAGGGGAGAAAGAATCATTATGCAAGTATGTCGCGCGATACAATCAAACTTGTTTGGAGATCCCCATGGCCTCGGACGAGGTGAAGGCTGGGGGGTTGATACAGAGTTTGCGAGCAGGGCCTTGTCGAACATCTTTAGCCAAAACCCCTGCTCGTACGTATGACGATGTGCTAAAAGGTGTAAGAAGTATATTAATTTGGAGGAAACGGAGGCCGAGTTTGCTAAGTTGGAAGAGTTGGCTAAGCCAGAGCCAAAGAAAAGAAGGGTAAGCTCGCCTCGAAGAATATCCCCGGGAAGGAGATCGCCCAGAAGAGAGGGGCGTGGTAGGATTGATCGTGGGCGAGATGACAGGTGGAAGGATCGACCGGTATTTGGGGGGGAAGCGGTTCCAATACTTTACGCCCCTTAATGCGAAAATGGGAGAGGTGTTGGTGGCTATCGAGAAGAAGATAGAGGATAGGGATGTGACGTGGCCGAAGTCGAGGCGTGAGGGGCCGACACAGCCTAGGTCGAGTAAGTATTGTCGTTTTCATAAAGATTATGGGCACAAAACGGAGAAGTGCAGGCACCTCAAGGATGAGATCGAGCGCCTTATCAGGGCCGGGTATCTTAAGGAGTTCGTGTACGAAGGAAAGGCGAAGGGGAAGGATAAATGAAAGTGTCGAGAGGACTCGGTGGAGCGGAGTGATCGAGATGATGATGAGGAAGGCGATCCGCGAGGAGGAAGGGGTGATCGATGAGGCAAGAGGAGACGAGGGAGTCAAGATCGAGGATGTCAGGAGGATCAAGGCCCAGTGAAGAGAGGAACGATTTATCCATTCTTTACTTTGGAAAATTGAACAAACATATACTGACTTAAGCATCGGAGGCTATTCACCGGAAAACCCCTCCGGTGTGAGAGTTCTGTGCAGGAACGCGGCGTTCTATCGGCGAGGAAGAAGGAAGCAAACCCGATTTCAACCCGATTTAGAACACATGTCCAAATCTGAATTACAGTGTTCTTCATTCATTTCTAAAAAACGAATTGTATGTTCAAGCTGAATAGCTTGTTTATCATCCAGATCTAAATTAATTAGATTCCAAAGATTTTTCTCAAGTTTTTCTTGAAAAATCATTTTTTCAAAGCATATTTCGGCCATTTAAAGGCATTAGGATTCCCTGAACTTCCTAGTTCTTCATTCCCTACAAAATCGTTAGGATATGAATATTTAAAAAAAGTATATATTTTCTTGATTAGGAGTTATCTCCCTTTTTTCAAAAATTTCTTTTTTACAAGAACATTTAGCAATTTCTTACTTAATATCATTGATTTTTAGCTGCAATTGATTCTAAATCTTGTTTAGAATCTTTAGGCTGTTGTTGAACATATTTAAATAACTCATCTACCTGTGTTTTCAGGATTTCTATATTTCGTTTTATATCCGTAGGGTTATAATTCATTTTATGTACCTATTATCAAATAAAAACAAATAAGGATATAATAGTCATTTTGTAACCAAATCTTTGCCAAAATATTTGATCATTATTAGGTTGTAAATGAGGTTGTTCATTCGGTTAATTCCTTATAAATCCCCAATCCCCAATTCTCTTTCCTGGTCAGTCCCCACTCCTTTTATTCTTCCTCTCCACTCCCTAATACAAATGTCTCTTTCCTCTCAACTCCCCATATATATACCTATATTATTATTATTCATTTATTTTACTCCATTTTATTGAAAATTCAATTTCATTTCTTTAACCCATCTCTCTCTCTCTCTCTTCGTCGTCTTCTCTCTGCGTATCTCTCTCTCAAAATCCACCGCCTCTCTGCAAATTCCGCCGATCGTCTCTCCCTCTGAAAATTCCGTTCGTCTCTTCGTTCAGTCCCTCTCCCATCGCCGGCCATATCTCCGGGAAGTTGCCCTTCTCTTCGTTCAGCTCCACATCCTCCTCGCCAAAACAATGGTGGGCTCGAAAAACCGTCCTCCTCATCGTTCCACATCCGACAAACTGTCGTCCACAATAAGCAAGGTAAGATTTTGGGGATTTTTTTCAACAATTTTGATTTTTTTTTCTTCAATTCAGAATTTGGGATTTTTTTTTCAAAATTTTGATATTTTTATTGAATTCGAGATTTTTCAAAATTTGGTATTTGGTTGATGCTAATGCACTTCGAATTTGAGTTTTATTTCACCAATTATGAATTTTATTGATAAATTGGGGCTATTTGCATGTCTAGAGTTTTATTGATTTATTTGAGCTTTATTGATTTTGGTATGTTTTTTCTTAATCAATTGTTGTTGTTGTTGTTGTTGTTATTATTATTTTATTTGAATTTGAGTGGGCAATTGTTTTTTTGGAGAATATTGTCTCTGTATCATGAGCAGATTCAACTTCACTCACTCTTTTTTTCAAATTGAAGTGGGCTTGTGAATACTGCAACTAGCATACTGCCTATTGGATTGATAAATATAATTTATGTAGCAGTGTGGTTTTTGTGTTTTTGTATGCTTGTACAGTAATCAACTTCAAGATTTATGCCTGAGGATATATGTTGATGAACTGTTACTAGTAAAAAAGTGATTTGATATCCCTGCTGGAAATTTGTGTGTTAATTTTGCCTTCCATTTGAGTATGTGTGTATGCATAAGAGTTTCTAATGTTATCTTCATTGTGTTTCAAGAAAAAATGGACAATCGAAAACCGGAAACACTACCACCACCAACGCCAATACCTCCAAAAGGTGTGCCGGAAAAATTCGGCAGAAGTAGTAAACATCTTCCTATGGCCAGGCGAGGATTGGGTTCGAGAGGACAAAACATATCACTCTTGACAAACCACTTTAAAGTCTCCGTATCAAAAACCGATGGTTCCTTTTACCATTACAGTGTATGTATAGTCTTCTCACTATTATTTGGATGTTTATTGAAATAGAGTCTTGAATCATTAACAATGTATGTAAATCCAATAGTGTTTAAACTGATGGTTATGTGTCTTTTTTTTTCTTTTTCTTTTTTTGTTCTTTTAATTCTTTCTGGTTTAGGTCACAATCTAATACGAAGATGATACCCCTGTCGATGCAAAAGGAGTCGGGCGAAAGATCCTCGGCCAGGTCTAAGAGACCTACAAAACCGAGCTTGGCGGCAAAAGATTCGCATACGATGGTGAGAAAAGCTTGTTCAGTGTGGGTCTTCTGCCTCACAACAAGCTCGAATTTACTGTGGTCATGTCCGAAGTGTCATCGAGCAGCTAAATAGTAATTTCTACTTTTAAGTAGTTTCTTTTGGTTAATTTTTTGTGTCTCTGCTTTATATTTCGAAACACTTGACTGTAGGGGTACTAGGAATCGTAGTCCGGAAGCTGATGGTAGCCTAAGTGAAAGTGATCGTAAGAGTTCAAGAAGGCGGCCTCATACCAAAATATACAAAGTGGTCATTAACTTTGATGCCAAAATCCCAATGTCTGCAATAGCAAACGCTCTTAGTGGCCATGAGACCAAACATTTTTAAGAGACTGTGAGAGTTCTTGATATTATGTTGAGGCAGAATGCTGCACAAAAGTTAGAGTAACCCTTTTATATAATTTTATATTATTACTCATTTTTTCAGTGTTGAGTACCTACTTTGTAGGAAGGAAAAAATGTGCAAGTTCTTAATGATACATGTTTAATAGTACCAGTTTTACCAATAATAGTATCACATCTTCTTCTATGCAGTACCAGTTTTTGATGAATAACTACTTGCTTTGCAGAAAGTACAAAAATGGATTACTTCAATTTTGGTCAACATTTTGCAAAACTAGTAGCAGATTTAGAGTAAGATAGTACCGATATTATGGTGTTCTAGTAATACATCGGGTATACTGTACCAACTTCGGCAAACATAAAAAAAAAAAGATTTTGTAAAACAGTACCAGTTTTACAACAATTAATATCACCTTTTATTCTATCCAGTACCAGTTATTGATCAATTAATATCTACTTTGTAGAAAGAACAAAAAATGAATTAATTCAAATTCTACCTATATGTTTTAAATTCCACTATTTTTCAACCAAATCATGCGTGAACGATCCATTTAGTACATTAATTAATAATTCTACCTATATTAATTAATATTTTTCAACCAACTCCGACGAACATAAAAAAAAAAAAAACGAATCTCTTAAAATGGTATAAGTTTTTCAACAAATAATACCACACCTTCTTCTATGTAGTACCAGCTATTGATGAATTAGTACTTACTTTGTAGAAAGAACAAAAAATGGATTACTTCCAATTTGGTCAACATTTTCAATATTAGTACAAGACCTAGAGTAAGATAATACCGCAATTATGGTGTTCTAATACCTGATATCGGGTCTTCAGTACCAACTCCGACGAACGTAAAAAAAGAAAAAACTAATTTTTGTAAAATAGTACTTGTTTTGACGCAAATAATACCACATTTTCTTCTTTGCAATACTAGTTATTGATGAATTAGTACCAACTTTTGGTCAGCGAAAATGGATTATTCAATGCTGGTCAATATTTGTAATAATTGGTACCAGACCTATAGTAAGATAGTACCAGCTTTCAGTGTTTTAGTACCAGATATCGTGTCTTTAGTACCAGCTCCGACGAACATAATAAAACACCAAAGTTCGGTCTCAAATGATGTTTATATGACTAATAATCACTCTCACATTATTTTCTATGAGATTTATAACGTGTTTAATTAAGTTTATTCACAAATTGGTCATAAACTCAACGCACTAATGAGAAATCACTACAAATACACTTCATTTCATTGAATGACACACTTCATCTCATAGAATCATCATACATGACTACTTCAAATTTTACCTATATGTTTTAACTTCCACTATTTTCATCCAAATCACGCGTGAAAGATCCACCTGTCATGGTAGACATCAAGGATTAGAGAAATCGCGATTCTGATATTAGTACCGGTTTTGGGTAACATAGTACCGCATCTTATTCTGCGTGGTACCTGATGTTGATCAAATAGTACCTACTTTTTTGAAGAAAAGTTGATTATTTTAATTCTGCTCAACATTTACAAAAAGTAGTACCAGTCATAGTGTAAGTCAGTACCACATTATGGATAGTAAGTACCAGATATCCTATCCCTAGTACCACTTGTAATGAACACATAAGAAGACCGAATTTCGATCGAAAATGATGTTTATACGACCCATGATCACTCTGACATTAGTTTATATAAGATTTTAAATGCTTTTAATTGAGTTTAATCGTAAATTGGTCATGAACTCGATACACTAATGAGAAAACACTACTACTAGACTTCATTTCATTGAATGACACACTTCATCTCATATAAATCATCATACATGACTACTTCAAATTCTACCTATATGTTTTCAATTCCACTTTTTTTCATCCAAATCACGTGGGAACGATCCACATGTCATGGTAGACATGAAGGATTAGAGAAATCGCGATTTTGATAGTAGTACCAGTTTTTGGAAACATAGTACCGCATCGTTTTCTGCGTGGTACCTGATTTCGATCAAATAGCACCTACTTTTTTGAAGAAAAATTGATTATTTCAATTTTGCTCGACATTTACAAAAAGTAGTACCAGTCATAGTGTAAGTCAGTACCACATTATGGAGAGTTAGTACCAGATATCCTGTCCCTAGTACCACTTGTAATGAACACATAAGAAGACCGAATTTCGGTCGCAAATGATGTTTATGCGACCCATGATCACTATGACATTAGTTTATATAAGATTTTAAATGCTTTTGATTGAGTTTAATCGCAAATTGGTCATGAACTCGATACACTAATGAGAAAACACTACTACTATACTTCATTTCATTGAATGACACACTTCATCGCATAGAAATCATCATATATGACTACTTCAAATTCTACCTATATGTTTTCAATTCCACTTTTTTTCATCCAAATCATGTGTGTGCGATCCACGTGTCATGGTAGACATGAAGGATTAGAGAAATCGCGATTTTGATAATAGTACCAGTTTTTGGAAACATAGTACCGCATCATATTCTGCGTGGTACCTGATTTCGATCGAATAACACCTACTTTTTTGAAGAAAAATTGATTATTTCAATTCTGCTCAACATTTACAAAAAGTAGTACCAGTTATAGTGTAAGTCAGTACCACATTATGGAGAGTTAGTACCAGATATCCTGTCCCTAGTACCACTTGTAATGAACACATAAGAAGACCGAATTTCGGTCGCAAATGATGTTTATACGACCCATGATCACTCTGACATTAGTTTATATATGATTTTAAATTTTTTTGATTGAGTTTAATCGTAAATTGGTCATGAACTCGATACACTAATGAGAAAACACTTCTACTAGGCCTCATTTAATTGAATGACACACTTCATCTCATAGAAATCATCATACATGACTACTCTAAATTCTAACTATATGTTTCCAATTCTACTTTTTTTCATTCAAATCACGTGTGAGCGATCCACGTGTCATGGTAGACGTGAAGGATAAGAGAAATCGCGATTTTGATAATAGTACCGGCATAGTACCGCATCTTATTCTGCGTGGTACCTGATTTTGATTGATTAGTACTAACTTTTGTGAAGAAAAATTGATTATTTCAATTCTGCTCAACATTTACAAAACGTAGTACCAGTCATAGTGTAAAACAGTATGACATTATGGCGATCTAGTACCAGATATCCTATCCCTAGTACCACTTGTAATGAACACATAAGAAGACATAATTTCGGTCGCAAATGTTGTTTATATGACCCATAATCACTCTGACATTAGTTTATATGAGATTTGATATTTGGTTAATTAAGTTTAATCTCAAATTGGTCACGAACTCAATACACTAATGGAAAAACACTACTTAATACACTTCAACTCATTGACTGGTACCAGTTTTGACGGATATAATACCGCTTTTTCTTTTATGAAGTACCTGTTATTGATCAATTAGTACCAGCTTTCTAGAATGAAAATATAATACACCGATTAAAACTTCACAAAATTATTACCTATATTGCAGTATAAAATGTCAGTATATTGTACAAAAAATATTTTTCATAAAGTGTCATTTACTACCCACTCTTTGAAATGAAAATGAGTACACAAGTATGGACGAGATTGCATTTCCAGATGGCAAACTGTTGATCCCCTTTGTATAACGATGCGTATACTCTCCATTCACAATCCGCATTGCTACAACAAACGATGACCTTCTGCTTGTCATTTTTTCGATACTTAAAACCGCTTGTTTGCAATCGCGTAGTTGTTGACACTCTTTCGAAATTCGTCGGTCCCACTGAATATCTGCCCCTCTCCTTTGATGCAAGATCTCCAAGAATCGATCGATTTATCTTGCAACAACTCATCTTCTTCCTCCGAGAAATCATTAGACTGTACGTTTTCCATGCGTTCATGACAAAATAATACAAAAATTTATAAATAATGGAACTAGTTAAAAAATTAATGAACTGAGATATGATACGAGTATACCATATTTCAATAATAAATTCATTAATATTATGAAAGGAACATTACCTGCTCATGTTCATCGGGATCGATTGAAATCCATCATCCGATCTTTCATTTCTTTAAACGACAATTATCACTACAATATTTATTTTCCAACAAACATGTAACCGAACATGTTCTTCACATCCTCATCATCCAACAAACTAACACTCTTTTTTTCCTTTGCCGCAATATAGCATAGCACGACGGATTCGAAATTAACATTCGGCCACCTCTTTGATATGAGAGTGTACACTTCGTCAACCGTTGATCCAATGTGCATAGAGAACACAAACAATTCGTTCATGTACGTACAAATCCCTAGTATATCACTTTGTGCCCCTTCCATGTATCTAACAATATTTGGATAAATAAAAAAAAAAATCACATTTCCCAGGAAAATATGGTACAAAAAAGTATTAAAGTGGTATTATATACATGCAAACAGAGGTACAATAACCAAGAATAGTGGTACAGTGATCATTCCCACCTTATTTTCTTGTTTTAAGGTGAATAACACATTACACAACTTAACAAGAGCATCCATTTCGTATACATAAACAAGAAATAAGAGATTTTGATCAATTTAATTGATTTAGGGTTAATATGAACAATAATTATCAAAATTCAATCCCTAACAAATTAACCAAATATATACGAATTAAACATGATTTTTAGACTCCAATGTGCATAGAGAACATAAACAATTCATTCTTGTACGTACAACTCCCTAGTATATCACTTTGTGCCCCTTCTATGTATCTAACAATATTTGGATAAATAAATAAAAAAAATCACATTTTCCAGGAAAATATGGTACAAAAAAGTATTAAAGTGGTACTATATACATGCAAACAGAGGTACAATAATCAAGAATAGTGGTACATTGATCATTCCCACATTATTTTGTTGTTTTTGGGTGAATAACATATTACATAACTTAACAATAGCATCCATTTCGTATACATAAACAAGAAATAAGAGATTTTGATCAATTTAATTGATTTAGGGTTAATATGAACAACAATTTTTAAAATTCGATCCCTAACAAATTAACCAAATATATACGAAGTAAACATGATTTTCGGACTCCAATGTGCATAGAGAACATAAACAATTCATTCTTGTACGTACAACTCCTAGTATATCACTTTGTGCCCTTTCCATGTATCTAACAAAATCTGGATAAATAAAAAAAATAAAAAAAAAAAACTTCACATTTTCCAGGAAAATATGGTACAAAACAGTATTAAAGTGATACTATATACATGCAAACAGAGGTACAATATTCAAGAATAGTGGTACAGTGATCATTCCCACCTTATTTTCTTGTTTTAGGATGAATAACACATTACACAACTTAACAATAGCATCAATTTCTATACATAATCAAGAAATAAGAGATTTTGATCAATTTAATTGATTTAGGGTTAATATGAACAACAATTTTCAAAATTCATCCCAAACAAATTAACCAAATATATACGAATTAAACATGATTTTTGGACTCCAAAATGCTCATATAATACATATATTACTTGCTACTTCAAATTTTGGCCGGAAAAAGCACGAATGTTGCCGGAAAAAATGAATTGTTGGCCGAACAAATTTGACGTCGGAATCACTTCTTTGGCCGGATTTGTTGTTGCCGGAGTTCTTCTCGCCGGAGGGACCGACCTGAAAAAAAAAAAAATGGAAGCAGTCGCCGGAAATGGAGGAAGACGGGAGAGTGACGGGAGGGAGGGAGAAAGGGTGTAGAAGAAGATTGATCAAAAGTAATAAAATACTATTATGTGTTATGGTTGGTGGAAAAGAAAATAAATAAAATAATATGGTAGTGGGATGATGTAATAAAGTATTTTAGTTTTGATTTAATTTTAACATTAGGGAGTTAGGAGGAAGAAAATTAAGGAATTAGAGAGTTGAAAGGAAGAAATAAAGGCATAGGGACTGATGAGGAAAGTGAAAAGGCACTTAGGGATTTTAGGAGAACTTGCCCTTGTTCATTTAGAATTTTCCTTTTTTTCCTAACCTAACATCCCAACCTTTTTTTCTTCTTAATTTTTTATTTCCTATCCTTTCACACAAATCTTCCTCTTACTCGCCGTAGGTAATCTTCCTCTTAATCATGAATCGCCTTTTTATAGCTTGATTAATTGTCTTCGTAGGCTTCAACCTCCAGCATCAGAACCCTAATAAATTAGAAAAAATAAATTGGGGCTGACTTCATCTTCAATTGATCTTTCGTTGCCGTCGATGTCGGTCTATGCCTCCAGGAGCACACCCAAATTGTCCGGGAAACCAGCCGCCAAGAGTCGGCCTCCAGACCGAAAACTCAGCAACCATCGAGCTCTACCTCCCGACCCAGGTTAGTCGCCTTACTCCTCTCCTCTCCGACCAATCCCCTTCTCTCTCCCTCCATTCAAATCTGAACCTTAAAATTAGATAAAAAAAAAAAGAGAGCAGATGTGGTGGTCGGTTGCGCCGGCGTGTATATGGAGGAGAAGGACATGGAGGAGTGATTGTTTCTGGTGGGGAACGTGGACGACACCGTCGAGATTCTGCTTGCTCGGAGCGGAGAGATTGAGTGAGCTAATGAGGCTATCGTTCCATAACCCGGCCAAGGGGTTGCCAGCTTGCTTTCTGTCCGATTTCATTGATGTGAATATGAAATATAGAGAGTAAAACTGCTATCTTTTTTTATTTTTTTCAGGTTAGCTCTGTTTGTGATTAAGCTATGTTTGCCCAAAAAAAGTTGTTTGAGCCTTGTGAAAACTTTGAACTTAGGGGCTAATTATATATTGTTGAACGAATTGAGGTTAACTGCAATCATAGAGAGGATAATTTTTTATTGGATTATTGCCAAATGCATGGCATTTATTAGTGATAATGCAGCATATCAGTTACCAAATTAAAAAGATAATCCTTCCTTAAATCACGGACATAATGAGATTTTATTTTTTTCGCATTAAAAAAAAAAAGATATGGTAAGTGTATATCTCAAGGTTGTCAAAACCGGACCAGTCATCGAACCGGTGAATCTACCGGTTCAATGGTTCATTGGTCGGACCAGTGGTCGAACCGGTTTTATTAATATATAATTTGTTTATTTAATTTATATGCATAATATATAAATGTATATATTTTTATCATTAATTTTATAGCATATAATGACATTTTTCTAAATAAGAGTTCAATAATCGTCTCCTATTTGTAATTACCATAAGTTTGTAATTTGTATTTTAATTTTAATTTTCTTTTCAGTTTTAATTATGTAAATAATAAAAAATTAAAAATCAATCTTAAGCTTTGATTTTAATTTCTTAACACGGAAGTGGAATTTTTGGGGCATAGGATCTCAAAATCAAAAAATTCATAGTACAAAAATGAGAAACTTTTTGGGGCCTAGGATTTCAAAATCAATTTTATTGCATAATTGCCAAATGCATGGCATTTATTAGTGATAATGCAGCATATCAGTTACCAAATAAAAAAGATAATCCTTCCTTAATTCACGGACATAATGAGATTTCATTTTTTTCGCATTAAAAAAAAAAGATATGGTAAATGTATATCTTGAATTTTAAACTTTATCATCTTCTAACGATACATAAAGCACCGCGATCAGGAATATCATAAACCATGATGATATAAGCTCGTAAAATATACGAATGATACCTAGTAATTTTTGCTTTCGAAACTCTTTTTTTACTTACTTTTCGTGTTATTAACATATCATTTTTTTTTTGTATATTTACTAGATATTTTCTTATTCGATGTGACATATACAAAATAAACCCGGTCTTTTTTTGCGAAACTATGTTCTTTGTTTACTTTTTGTGTTATTTACATCTCGCGTTTTTCTTATATTTACAGTAAATTTCCTGGTTTAATGTGATTTTTTGTTTTTTTGGTGTCAAAATCAAACGATTTTGATGAGCTAAGGCTGCAAAATATATACAATATATAAACATCGCATATACAGTTTTGAAAATAACTACAAAGTTGCAAACTCAGGTATTGTAAGTATATTATTCATGCACATATACATAATATATTCGTGTTATATACTTAATATGTAAACATCACATATACAGTCTTGAAAACAATTGTAAGTATATCATTCATGCACATATAAACAGAAATTCTATGGTGCCCATATGGGCACCATAGAATTTCTGCACATATAAATAACATAATTGTGTTATATACGTAACATATATACTAAATATATACTGAATATATATTTAATACACATAAAATAAACCATCAAAAAATGTTTGGTATAGATATTGTATATATTTACCGAAAATACATTGCATATAAACTATACATATACACAACATAATCGTGATATAAATAGTTTATTAGGTGTCGGAGTCGAGTCTTCTTCNACACTGCATATAAACTATATATATACACAACATAATCGTGATATATATAGTTTCTTTTCCTCCTCCTCCTCCTCTCCTCCTCCTTCTCCTCCTCCTCTGTCATGATTTTCCTCTTCTTCACGGCCTCGAGCGTTTTGACCTCGCTCAGCCTCTTCGTCTTTTTCTTCTTCGCCTTCTCCACAAAACCCGTACGACATCCGAAATCAATGATTGCATCAACTACTATTGCTGTGCTTTCGGAGTGATACCCAGTCACGGATTTTTTGGTGGCCACCCCCGATGTCCGTCACCAAGACTAGATAAAAAACCTTCTCGCCATCTTTCTCCAGCAAAGAATTAAACACACCTAAATAACCAGAAAAAATTGGTGCACTTCTTCCGAGAGAACCAGTCTTTGGGAGGAAAGAAAAAAAAAGAAGAAGAAGATACGTATGGAATTTGGAGAAGACACAGTGAGAGAGGGAGGACAGGGAGAGAGAAGAGGTGGGAGAGAGAAGAGATGAAACGTGTTGAAGAGAGTAGACGGTGGGCAGTTTTTGAGTAGTGGGATAATTCTCTCTTACCATATGCATCGAGAGCCCTTTTTTGGTACTGATATTATCACCATTAATTTAGCTAGTAAATTAATTATTTAAGTCAACTTTTGATATCAACTGAATTCTAGTAAAACTGCAAATATAAACGTAATATTTGACTATAATGCAAATATTTTTAAACGGGTATTATTTGTGTAATTAAAATTGAACTTTATAGTGTAGGCTATAATTTTCTCTTTTAACTTATAGAATTAGTATTTGTGGGCTTCATATTTGTTTCTTTTATTTCAAAGGATGATTTTTGTAGCCCACGGTGAACAACCAATTAGTCAAACTAAATCAATTGTTGGATTTTTTAAATAAAAGCTGCATGTTAGTGAGGCATGATGACAGGTGAATAGGGCAAATATCATGTACAGAGGTACATCACCTCACCCCTGCACCTTCCTCNATTTGTGGGTCCCATATTACCGTTCAGTGCCCTTAACGGCTCCTTTGAGCCGTATTTAATTTTTTTTTATTTTTTTAGCTGCCTTTTTTGTTGTTTTCTCAACAGCTCTTTTTGAGCTTTCTTTATTTATTTTTTTTCCAGCTTTTTTGTTTATTTTTTGTAACGGCTCTTGAGCTTTTTTTTTCTTCTTTTTTTTAAGCTGCGTTTTTTTTTTTATTTATATTTTTATCCTCATTTTTTGCCTATAAATACACTTTATTTTTATACTTTTCCTACACCAAAAATTTAACACTTCTCCTACACAAAAAATTTAGCAATTGCTCATTTCTCAAAAAAAAAAATTATTGAATGAATGGATGGATGGGTGCCATATTTGTATTTAAATGAATGTGTAGGAATGTGGGTGTGTGTTTAAATGGAGAGAGAAGATGATGTGGATGAGAGAGAGTGTACCTTTTTGATTGAATGAATGAGAAAAAAATTTATGGATGTGGATGCCCTAAGGGCATCTTTAACAATTAAACCTCATAAACCTCCTTTTTACACTTTCCAACATGCCAGATCATCAAAAACCTTATTCTTACTCCTACACCATAAACTTCCAATAACAATAAACCCCATAAACCTCATTTTTATGGGACCCACATGTTTTTTACTTTCTTTTAATTATTTTGACCCTTATATTTTTATTAATATTTTAAAACTATAACTCCATCTTTTTATTTTTTTATTCAATATAAATATTTCATATATTTATTATAAAATATGTAAGAAATAATATAATTATATATAAATATATTTTATTATTTATAATTATAGAGTGTTAATTACATATGGATGTAATATTTTACTTAAAAATAATATTATTTCAAAGCACAAAATTAAAGCAAAGCAAGAAATGAAAATTAACATCAATGATAATTAAAACAAAAGTCACTAACAAAAAATCTAAACAAAGAGGAGAACGTAAATTCATAAAGAAGAGAAAAAAATAAAAAGCTACAAAAAGTCACGTAAATTCATAAAGAGGAAAATAAAAATAAAAAGCCACAAAGGTCAAGGAAGGTGTTGGTGGGCCAACTTTTGTGAGGTTTATATGAGGTTTTGATTTGTAAACCGGTGGTGGAAATGTAAATACAACTCTTGTTATTATTGGTCTGTTGTGAGGATGTCTTTCAAATTTGCTTTTGGTAAATACATATTTGTTTGTTCAAAGCCGTTCAAGGTTCGAGAAAGTAAAAATATTAAGATAATTTATTTAGACATTTTAGTCTATCTAAATTTCTTAGAACGAAATGCGAAAATTTTAGAATTTTTCGGTTTTACGATAACAGTTCGTTTTAAGTCCAAATTTGATTTTGTAAATTTTGTTTTTGTTGGTTTCTTAGCATGTTCCAAGATCATGCTTAAGCATTATTTTTTTCAACGTAAGAGTTATTTTATGTTAAGACATTTTAGCAAGAAACCATGGTATTAAATGAGACTAGTGCGTTACTCGTGCGATGCACGGGCTAGTTTTATTAAGGTAAACATTTAGAGTTGGATGATTGGTAGAACGGTAAGACGCATGTATTGGAATAAACAAAATGAAACTTATATATTATTAAACACATCCTTGTACACAAAATTATTTGTTTGGTCTTTTGGTACATCGTCTATCATCACAAATTATATTATGATTCTAGATATGATTAATTAAATCAATTAAATTATTTAGCAGGATATATATGATATGATTTATAGTGGTTTTATAAAGATTGCATAGCCAAATATAACAGAGATTGTAGAACGTCTTTCATGATAATCTATAGCCTTATTATTTAAAATTATGAATTACTTAATTTAAGGAAGGGAAAAACTATGTAAGTGTGTGAATCAATTGCAAATTTGTATTCTAGAGGATTAAACAAAACCAAAATTTTTAGGATGTCTCAATCTGATTTCATTTTGAATTTCAAATTAATATTATCTGACTCTGTTTTATATTTTAAAAAAAATCAGAGTTAAAGAAAGTAGTAGTCAAATGATAAGAGATTTTTGAATTTAATTTTCAATTTGAAATTGAGTCTGATTTCTATGCAATCCGATTTTTTAATAAACATGATATGTTGCAATTAGGTAAAGATACATTTTATAGTATTTTACCTAATTTGAAATTCTCGATTTCATGTAAACAATTTTTTTTAATATAAAATGAGAGAATTTTGACTTTTACAAAATTATCATGCCGAATTTTACTTAAATTAACCCGATTTCTATGCAGTCCGATTTTTTTATTAAAAAATTGATTTGTTGCAATTAGGAAAAGATATATGTGATAGTATTTTGCCTAATTCGAAATTCCCGATCTTATGGTAATCAATTTCTTTTTTTTTAATAAAAAATGAGAAAGAATTTTGAATTTTGCAAAATTGTAACCACCAGTCGAAATTTAACTAAATTAAATCCACAAAACAATTTAGGGTGCTATATAGCTGATCGATTTTTTGGGAATAATTTAAAAAGAAAATTCAAAAACTGCAAAATAGAATGCAATAAATCTTGGTGGACTTTTGTTGTTAATATTGTTGGTAAATAGGTTCTCTCTTTATATATAGATATAGATATAGATATAGATTACTTGTAATTATTTGTGCATAAAATCTGACCCAAAATATAATCTTGTGAAATTGATTTTTTTTTTTTTATTATAAAACCCATACCAATTTTAAAACTCATAAATCATAAAATAAAAAATTGGGACAATATATTTGGATGAAAATAACAGTATAAAATAATTTTAATTGGCCATTTTATTATAACTGTTGGATCCAATAAATAGCCCAATATAAGAATAAGAATATTATGAGTAAGACATAGAGCTCAAACATATGACCCAGTTCAGATGAAACTAAATCTATCCGAATTTATTTATATTATTGATCCAACGGCTTAAATTTGTCAACATAAATCAAATCAAACCGGAAAAAGTCTATCAAATATAAAAGGCATTCCATGTCCGATTTTTTAGGGTTTTATTTTTTTCTCCGCATCCTTGCATTTATCTTATCTCTTCTCACTTATCTCCATACCCCTCACGGTTTCAGAAAGTATGCATTATGAATTTTGGGTCAATTTTAATTTGCTTTTGTGATTTTCATTTAAAATTTGCGTTTTATATTCTGTATTTTTATTAAGTTTTCGAAATTTTAATTTTTCTTTTTATGTTTTCATACTGCAAGTATTTTTTTGTGATATAATGTTGTGAACTTTTATTGATTTTCGAAGATTCATTTCAAAAGTCGATAGATTTGTTATAATTTTTTTAACATTTTTATTAGGCTTATTCAATTTTATGTCAAAAAAAAAATGAAATCCGAAAATAATCATATTTTGATATGAGATAGATTGTGTTATGGAGGAATCAACTAATTCCTTTTCTTTAGGTGATTTCAATTTGTATTTGAATTACATTCCTAATATATAGGCGGCAGAGTTGATTCGGTTGTTTCACTTTTACTAAAAAAAAATAAAAAAAATCCAAAAATAATATGCAATAAATGTTTTCTTAAATTTTTGGATTACTATTTTTGATAAATAGTAATTCTTATTATATATATATATATAGATTTGTCATTATTATTTTTTTAAATGAAGGAGTCATTTTCAATCAGCAAAAAGATCAATTTTAATCAGCTTAAACACGCCACTTTGGTGTTAATTGGTGATAAATAATGGAGACATCATTGTCATGTTTTCATAATCAGTATTTGAATATAAAACTCCTTGCATTAATTATATGTCACTATCATGGAAATTGAAATTTTGAGTTAAGCGTGTATAAGTTAATGCTTTAGATAAGTGCATGAGGGGGAAATGTTGGCTTCTGATAATTTGCATCCATTCATTATTAATGGAAATTTTCTTATTGTTTCACATCGGCAATATGCGGGAAGTTTAGCGCCTTTGTTTATATAAATAGGAAGAAATCATCATTCATCATATATCTAATATCGACTTCTAGCCTTAACTCTAAAAATTGTGGTTGCGTAAGGAAAAAAACTAACAAAGACATAAAATATATAAAATTTCTAGCCTTAACTCTATGTTGCGTAAGGATAAAAACTAACAAAGACATAAAATATATAAAAATTTTAGCCTTAACTAGTGCGTAGCCCGTGCGATGCACGGGAAAACAATATTTTGATTGTATTATAAATGGAATAAATAAATATATATATATATATATATTCCAATTGGACACTTAATAAAAAGGCTGTTACATACTAGTGCGTAGCCCGTGCGATGCACGGGAAAACAATATTTTGATTGTATTATAAAATGAATAAATAAATAACATTAATCATGATTTATCCATTATTTTTAAATTAAACCGGGTTGGACACAGTCTGACCGGATGGACAGAGAACTGGTTTATAAACAGTCTAGTGCGCTTGAATAAAATATTTGCTATCGAATCTTTCAACACCAGTCTGTTGGACTGGTAGGATCGATAAGATTTTCTAAACAATTTTGTTACATTAAAAATAATTTTAAATAAAATTACATATTTAAATAAAATTGAGATTTATAAATTGTTTATCAATTAATTTAAACATTTGAATTTATAAATTGTTTAGATATTTAAGTAACACTTTTTATTTAAATTAATATATATATACATAAGTATATATTATGTATTAAAATTTGAACAACCACAAATGATTTAATAAAATAACTTGATTGTTTCGATGATGGTCCGGTTATGAAAACCTTATACTTACCGTACATTAATAAAAAAATATAATAAAATAATTATTTTGTTCACATAAATAATAATAAAATGATAAATAAATATTCATAAATCATTAATTATGTTGTCATAAAAGTATTGTTAATATGATTATTTAAAATTTGGACTACATCACATTCACGTAATAAAGTATTTTCAATATTAAAATTTATATTTAGGTTTAATAATCGATTTGGTCTGGTCAAACTGATACATAACTTAGTTATCTGGGACCAACCAAGTTGTTTGAAAGTTTTTTGACTATTTTAAATATCACCTAAAAGTAATTCAATCAACGTGGACAGTACCTTAATTCAATCACCCGATTGATCCAAAGTAATTTCCTTATTTTCTTTAAATATAATATTTAATTTTATGAAATAAAAAAAATTTATGATTCATATATCTACACCAAATGATAATATATTAAGATTGTAAATTATATATCTAAAGATGAATTATTTATTTTTATTTTATGCATATTAATAAAAAATATACATAGTAATTTAAAAAAAAATCAAGATTAATTGATTGGATATGCAATTTAAAGAATATTTTTAACGTTCAATATATATTTTAACATGATTGAATTTTTGGATTAGAATATATATATTTAAAATAATTTTATTATTAAAAGTCAAAAAGAAAAGATGCCATAAAGATAACAACTTTGAAAAGTTTATAAACATTAACTTAGGAACCATCCGATTTTAAATGATTTTATAATTTTTGAAACAAGATACGTACATCTAAAACCCATTAATTTAGGAACCATCCAATTTTTGATAATGAATTAAAATTAAAATGTAAAATAAAGAAATTGCTGAAAATAGTATATAATGAATGTGGTTTGACTTTTCTTACTATTATTTATGGTAAATGTTAATTCTTATTATATATATATAGACTCTAATAATTGTGGTTGCGTAAGGAAAATAAACTAACAAAGACAAAATATATAAAAATTCTAGCCTTAACTCTAAAAATTGTGATGTCCTGCTTCAAATTACCCCTGGCGATCTGTAAAGAAATATGCAGGCATTCTGCCTCCTCCTGGTGGGGCTCCAAAGCAGATGGAGGAAGTCGAATCCACTGGGCATCATGGAGCAAACTCACACTTCCTAAGGAAGCTGGTGGAATGGGATTTAAATGCTTATCATCCTTCAACGAAGCACTCATCATAAAACAACTATGGAGGATAATTCAAAAACCAGACCTCTTGATGAGCAAGACTCTCAAAGGAAAATACTTCCCAAATTCATCTCTGTGGAAAGCACATCACAAGAGTTCCGACTCGTGGCTATGGAGCACCTGGCTAAAAATCATACTGCACCTGAAAAAGAGAGTCATCATGTCAATTGGGGATGGCAAAAACACCGATATATGGAGCGACCCCTGGATAGCAGAACTTCAGAAGCTCTCTCCAGCTCTGGAATTTAATTCAGATTACCTAAAGCTTAAAAAAGTCTGTGACTTGCTGAAATCAAATGGTATTGCTTGGGATAAAGACCTTATCGAGCAATCTTTCAAGCCCGAAGAAGCCCAAATGATTCTGAACATTCCTCTCAAACCAGGTCAGCAAGATACCATGATTTGGACTCCTCACAAGCAAGGCAAATTCTCGGTCAAGTCGGCCTACGGGTCCATTCTCTTAGAAAAGGCGGCGAAATCAACCTCCCCTGAGTCGAGCAATCACAATCTGATAATGTCGAAAGTATGGAAAACCACCTGGGGCACTCAAGATAAAGAAGAAGATACAAGTCTTCCTCTGGAAATGTTGGTTTCATTACTTAGGAACTCAAGATCAATTAACCAAAAGAGGCCTAAGTGTCGACCCAATCTGCAGCGTATGTGGGTCCTCGGATGAATCCATTGATCATATATTACTCTCTTGTCCTCGTGCTGTGACTGTCTGGAAACTGGCAGGACTACATTGGGAAGGTATGCAAGAATCTAATTCTTCTTTTCGAAATTGGTGGTCTGATATTTGCACAATGAGGAAAGGTCGGAGCTTTGCGGATCGTATCCATTATTCCTCGTATATTCTCTGGTGGCTGTGGAAATCTCGAAATATTTGGATATTCAACAGCACATGGAAATCTGAAATAGATATTGCTCAGGGTGCTTGGAAGGAATGGACCGAATTTGAAGAAGCTAATTACATGCATGTTTAATCTAGTACTGTTGATGGTTCTAATATTGTTGCTATTTCTATTGATGCTTTCTTGGCTTTTGTGGATAGCTGACACAAGTGGAAGTTGGGCTAGGGACCCTAGTGTTCAGTGGCAGGACTTCTATCTACTCTTACAACTCTGCATGGCTATCTCTTTTGTGCTTGTCTTTTAGTTGGTGTAAATTGTAGTCTTTATTTCTTTCTTTTAGTTGCTGTTTTTTTCTTGTCTGTGGGATCATTTCCCTTGTAACTTAGCTTCAGTTTGGATGCTAAGGGTTGTGTCTGTGGACATGTCGATTGTAAATATTTTTCCCGAGCTGGGCATTAATATTAATTATCGTTTCGAAAAAAAAAAACTCTAATAATTGTGGTGTGCTATTGAAATAATATAAGCTGGAAATCAATTGAACAATATCCCATCAAAACTTCCCACTTGCACGAAGGATTAATTTAATTTCTGCTCCACACACAAATTTATGGATAGATTTCTAATTTAGAATTACTTTTTCAAACATCTACTTGTTTTAATATATCGCTTCATTTCATGTGTCTCACACAAATTATATAATAACACACTATTATATTGTTTTATCATATGCATGATTAATTAAAATTTCATGAATTATATAATTAAAAAATATTATATCAATATTATTTTTTTTGTAAAAAAAATAAATTCCAACGGCTACTTAACGGCTCTTTTTAACAACTATTTATCAATTTATATATAAAACACTTCACTTCATACATTAACACTCACTCCAAAATATTACAATATATTCTCATCTAAAAAAATGTTTCATCCATTGTTTATAATTACCATTATATTGGTTCTTATACACGGTTTAGGAATTTTCACAATGTTGTATGATACTGCTGAATTTATATTTTATATATTAGGTCTTTTTCTAATGTATTTTTTATTAGCTGTTCTGATCAGTTTGAATAATGTATGATTGTATTTGTAATTTTCTTAAATCTAAGCATTAATATTGTATTTATTTGTCATTGTCTTGTACAATAAGAAATCCTTTATTTTTCCTTACTACTGCCAACGCATTTGGTCTTATTTTAACTTAACAAATGCTCATTAAACATCTCATCTATCACCTTCTCAAATTATCGAGAAACAAGATACAAAATCACAAATAGCTCATATATCTATCGGATTTTTTTTTTTAAACAGAATTTCCAACCACGATTTGTTGGGTACACTTACCACATATGAAAAAGGCATTACTCATGGGTCGGCTGTGGTCCCAAAGCCGTTACCATCCTAGTATTATATAATGTAGGAAATCAGTTTATTTATTGCCAACTGGGCCAGAAATTTGAGATGTTTTGTTCTACCTTTGCATTCAAAGTATATGGCTCATCAATTCACTTTACAGTAGATGTTTTGGGTGATATCTTGTGTGTAAATTTTGTTTTTTTGTTTTGTTGGACTAGGACACCCTGCTGATTGTTTGCTATGTCGGTGTCTCATTTTTAAACTATTTTGTACATATACGATTCCTTGTGAAAAAAACTATGGAGTAACATTTGCAAGGTAGTAAAAATCAGGCTATGTAATGTTGTAGAGTAGTTGGAGGAAAACTGTTTGGGCAAAAAATGAGGTTATTTTGAGTGAGTTCCGTCTCAAGCAAAGTATGATACAAGCAAGCAAGGGTGAACATACAAAACAATGAGAGAAAAAGAAGAGCGTCCAAACTGGGATGAATCTGGATTTTGTGACAAGTAATGTAATGCCCCGTTTAATTATGGAATATTTGAGAATTATTTATCATTATTATTATTATTATTATTATTATTATTGAATGTCTAAATATTATTTATTTGTCAAATTGCACTTAAATATCTAAATGTCTAAATATTATTATTTGCTTAAATGTAATTGATTTCATAAATGTGAATTGTATTATTATTAATATTATTATTTTTAATTAAATTGTGTATAGTATAAATATATAAATAACATCCGGTATATAATTAAATGGAGCGACCCCTGGATAGTAGAACTTCAGAAGCTCTCTCCAGCTCTGGAATTTAATTCAGATTACCTAAAGCTTAAAAAAGTCTGTGACTTGCTGAACTCAAATGGTATTGCTTGGGATAAAGACCTTATCGAGCAATCTTTCAAGCCCGAAGAAGCCCAAATGATTCTGAACATTCATCTCAAACCAGGTCAGCAAGATACCATGATTTGGACTCCTCACAAGCAAGGCAAATTCTCGGTCAAGTCGGCCTACGGGTCCATTCTCTTAGAAAAGGCGGCGAAATCAACCTCCCCTGAGTCGAGCAATCACAATCTGATAATGTCGAAAGTATGGAAAACCACCTGGGGCACTCAAGATAAAGAAGAAGATACAAGTCTTCCTCTGGAAATGTTGGTTTCATTACTTAGGAACTCAAGATCAATTAACCAAAAGAGGCCTAAGTGTCGACCCAATCTGCAGCGTATGTGGGTCCTCGGATGAATCCATTGATCATATATTACTCTCTTGTCCTCGTGCTGTGACTGTCTGGAAACTGGCAGGACTACATTGGGAAGGTATGCAAGAATCTAATTCTTCTTTTCGAAATTGGTGGTCTGATATTTGCACAATGAGGAAAGGTCGGAGCTTTGCGGATCGTATCCATTATTCCTCGTATATTCTCTGGTGGCTGTGGAAATCTCGAAATATTTGGATATTCAACAGCACATGGAAATCTGAAATAGATATTGCTCAGGGTGCTTGGAAGGAATGGACCGAATTTGAAGAAGCTAATTACATGCATGTTTAATCTAGTACTGTTGATGGTTCTAATATTGTTGCTATTTCTATTGATGCTTTCTTGGCTTTTGTGGATAGCTGACACAAGTGGAAGTTGGGCTAGGGACCCTAGTGTTTAGTGGCAGGACTTCTATCTACTCTTACAACTCTGCATGGCTATCTCTTTTGTGCTTGTCTTTTAGTTGGTGTAAATTGTAGTCTTTATTTCTTTCTTTTAGTTGCTGTTTTTTTCTTCTCTGTGGAATCATTTTCCTTGTAACTTAGCTTCAGTTTGGATGCTAAGGGTTGTGTCTGTGGACATGTCGATTGTAAATATTTTTCCCGAGCTGGGCATTAATATTAATTATCGTTTCGAAAAAAAAAACTCTAATAATTGTGGTGTGCTATTGAAATAATATAAGCTGGAAATCAATTGAACAATATCCCATCAAAACTTCCCACTTGCACGAAGGATTAATTTAATTTCTGCTCCACACACAAATTTATGGGTAGATTTCTAATTTAGAATTACTTTTTCAAACATCTACTTGTTTTAATATATCGCTTCATTTCATGTGTCTCACACAAATTATATAATAACACACTATTATATTGTTTTATCATATGCATGATTAATTAAAATTTCATGAATTATATAATTAAAAAATATTATATCAATAATATTTTTTTTGTAAAAAAATATATTCCAACGGCTACTTAACGGCTCTTTTTAACAACTATTTTTATCAATTTATATATAAAACACTTCACTTCATACATTAACACTCACTCCAAAATATTACAATATATTCTCATCTAAAAAAATGTTTCATCCATTGTTTATAATTACCATTATATTGGTTCTTATACACGGTTTAGGAATTTTCACGATGTTGTATGATACTGCTGAATTTATATTTTATATATTAGGTCTTTTTCTAATGTATTTTTTATTAGCTGTTCTGATCAATTTGAATAATGTATGATTGTATTTGTAATTTTCTTAAATCTAAGCATTAATATTGTATTTATTTGTCATTGTCTTGTACAATAAGAAATCCTTTATTTTTCCTTACTACTGCCAACGCATTTGGTCTTATTTTAACTTAACAAATGCTCATTAAACATCTCATCTATCACCTTCTCAAATTATCGAGAAACAAGATACAAAATCACAAATAGCTCATATATCTATCGGATTTTTTTTTTTAAACAGAATTTCCAACCACGATTTGTTGGGTACACTTACCACATATGAAAAACGCATTACTCATGGGTCGGCTGTGGTCCCAAAGCCGTTACCATCCTAGTATTATATAATGTAGGAAATCAGTTTATTTAATGCCAACTGGGCCAGAAATTTGAGATGTTTTGTTCTACCTTTGCATTCAAAGTATATGGCTCATCAATTCACTTTACAGTAGATGTTTTGGGTGATATCTTGTGTGTAAATTTTGTTTTTATGTTTTGTTGGACTAGGACACCCTGCTGATTGTTTGCTATGTCGGTGTCTCATTTTTAAACTATTTTGTACATATACGATTCCTTGTGAAAAAAACTATGGAGTAACATTTGCAAGGTAGTAAAAATCAGGCTATGTAATGTTGTAGAGTAGTTGGAGGAAAACTGTTTGGGCAAAAAATGAGGTTATTTTGAGTGAGTTCCGTCTCAAGCAAAGTATGATACAAGCAAGCAAGGGTGAACATACAAAACAATGAGAGAAAAAGAAGAGCGTCCAAACTGGGATGAATCTGGATTTTGTGACAAGTAATGTAATGCCCCGTTTAAATATGGAATATTTGAGAATTATTTATCATTATTATTATTATTATTATTATTATTATTATTATTGAATGTCTAAATATTATTTATTTGTCAAATTGCACGTAAATATCTAAATGTCTAAATATTATTATTTGCTTAATTGTAATTGATTTCATAAATGTGTATTGTATTATTATTCATATTATTATTTTTAATTAAATTGTGTATAATATAAATATATAAATAACATCCGGTATATAATTTAATTGTCGAGCCAAACCAAATTGATATTATGACTAGTCGGGCCCGAGAAAAATCGAGAAACCGCGACCTGGTTCGCGCCTCAGCCCCAAACCCATGAGCCCGACCCGAACCGCCCCATTCGTGTGTGTGTGTGTGTGTGTTATGTGTCTTGAGGAATAAGACACTAACCCTAGCCTATGTTATATTTTTCCCGTCTTTCATCAGACAAAAACACGCACGCCATAAGTCTCAAAAATCTCTCTGTTTCTATAGCTAAAACGCCGCAGCCCCTTTCCTCTCCCATCTCGATCGCGATCGCTGAGAAGAGAAGAATCTAATCATCCCGTCATCATCTTCCTTTTCCGTCGCCCTCACTCCATCACCAATCATCATCATCACTTCATCTCAGCCACCATCACCGATCGCCATCACCTCCCCTCTACAAAATCAGACGCCGCGACCAACACAACCCCGACACCGCGAACCAGCAGCGACCCTCCACTCGTCGAGAACTAGTCATCTCTGGCGACCTCCCCCATCGCCGCACCTGCAGCACCCCAGCGGCGAGCCACCTCCTGACACGGTCGTCGCTGCTCCTCACGCACAGCTCCATCGCGAACCATCAGTTGCAGCACCACCCGACCGCCGCTGCTCCGCCACTGTCACGCATTTAGGCCACCGCGAGCAGCCGTCCCTCAGCCGCTGCTCCTCCTTACGCCGCCATCCATCGCTGCCTCTCCGCCGCGAGAAGACCACACGTAAATCGAGCCCGTCAACCCTCGTTCGGCCCATTTTTCGAACGTAATCCCGAGAACGGTACCGAGGCTCATCCCTCTCGTTAATTTCATGTGTATTTTACGTGTTGAACATGCTTTGCGATTTATTATTCGCCGTATGATTTTAGTGTTCAATATGTTGATATTGATATGAATATGTCGAGCCTCGTTATAATTTAACTATGTATCGATCTCTTCGGTTCGTGCGAACTCGAACGAGATCATGTATACACGTGTTAAGTCGCTGTGGGATTTGTAACAGCGTGTTCTTGGCCTTATGGTAAGGCCTCGGACCCTTTCGAGTTTTGTCGAGTCATTTATAACTTGTTGATCTTGTAAATTGTTGTTTTCGTGTTTAATTCATTAAAAATCGTATGCTGCTCCGATTGCCATGAAATTTTGGGTGTAATTGCCTCTATTGATTATGAAGCTCGTGTAAAAATTTTATAATTTTATTTGGTTTGTAACTATTTTAATTAATTAAAGTGATTTCTAGGAAAAACAGTATTAATTGCATAATAAGTGGATTCGTGCTTCAACCTGGCTGAAATTTGCGTATGTTGTCTCTCTTTCTGATTTAGATGTTGTATAAAATTTTCAGAATTTTTGGACTCAGTTTGCTTAGGGAAATAATTTATTTTGTTATTATACCGAAAACTGTTTTAATTATGATAAATTGATTTGATGCTGAAAAATTCTGATTTTAAGTTGAAGTGTTTGTTTTGTTATGTATCTCATGCTGTAAAAATATTAGAATTTTTAGAGTTCATTTAGGTTCAGTTCTATTGAAAATTTGAAATCTGCTGAATGTTGTTACAATTTTATTAATTTGCTTGTTAGGTGTTTAAAGCTGATATTTTTACACACTGTTATTCACATGCTGAGGTTCCTTGGATACAAATTTCAGAGTTTGAATCATTCATTCAGTCGGGTTTTAAATTGATGATCGTTTTTGCTGCGAACTTGCTCGAATTTTATAAAATCACGAGCTTTGAATTTGAGGCTGAAAGTTGGTGGTGTTTCTAGGTACTTGGAGGTGAATTTTGTGTAAAACCTTCAGAGTCTAATTCATAGGGCAGCCTAACCAACCTAATTATGTGACTTATCGACTAGTATTTCGAATATAAGGTTTTTGTGTTAAAAACTGTAAACCGGCTCGCATGCTATTCTTTGTTTATTTGACTTGGTAAATCTTTGATTGAGATTATGTGAACTCCCATGCGTATTTAGTTGAGTCTTAGTGTCGAGTCTAAATGTTCCAACATCCACAGGACTTCACGAACAACTTAGTTGAATCAAGTTCGACTAAGTATGATTGTATTTTCCTTTTTAGGCCAAGATAGATGTTGATTGTAGCATCTTAACTTAATGTAGGTGCTTGACGAGCCGAGCTTGCCGTCTATACGCGCTTTTGTGTTATCTCCTACTAGCGACCAGGTGGGTTTTATTTAAAATTGTCTATGCCATAAATTATTTACATTTGTTGAATGGCGTGATTAATGCATGCGTGTGAACCATGTAACCCTCGTTGTGAGCTGTATGTCCTTCGAGCGGTTGTCCCCGTCGTTGTGAGCTGTATGTCCTTCGACGGTGCCTATTGATAGGCAGTCTCCCTAGCCTAATGATAGGCAATGCCGATGTGAGCTGTATGTCCTTCGGTATTTTACTCCCATTGTTGTGAGTTGTATGTCCTTCAATGGCTAATGTTAGATATGTGCATGAGTAAATATGTGTGATTAGGAGATGTGATTAATGATTGATTCGTGTTCATGCTGCAACCATGCCTAATTGTTATTATATATGATTTATTGCATAGCGGTGAGCACTACGATTTCCAACTGTGCTCATCCCCACCTGAAATTAACGTTTCAGGTTAAGCAAGGCGGGCACGATGGCAGGATGGCGAATGGATGGTCATATTTATGTTTAAATTTGCTTCCACTTTATTATGAATAAGTTGACCCCGATTCATGAACTTGAGTTGTTTTGGATTATGAACATGTTATTTCCTTTCAGACTATGGCATTTGGAATTGTTGGAAACTGGAATTGCTATTTGATTCGTGTTGATGAACTATGTTTAGATATTCATGATGTGTTATTTTGAATATCATGTGGAGTTTTATGATTTTGGGACAATGAGGTCCATGTGAAAAACCGGGTAATGAATCCCCGTGAGGTTTTAAATATGACTTGAAACAAGATAATGCCCTGTTAATGATCATTTCGAGAAATAAATTTCGAAAATG